TATTCAATTATAATATTATTTAATTTTGATTTTTATTAACCTAGAAAAGAAACGGAAAGATACACATTTACATTATTTTTTTCAAATTCAGCAAGTCTTCACCGTGGTGTGTGTCCATTCTTTATTTAAACTAATGACTAATTCACGACAATTCTCGACACTTTCTTCCCGGACCGTCCTTTGTTACGTTACGTTTCCGTAAAATCCTGCCATTTGTCAAAATCTACGACGCGTTCGTGTATGTTTATCGCTTTGTTTGACCAAGTGCTTGTCAGAAATGAATTTATCTGTTATTCGTGACAATGACAATCGCGAAAGATGAATTATTGTGACATATTGTGAGTAAGTAGACATTGGAACGTGATGCCGGCAGATTTAACTTTCGTGCTGGAATTTTATTTTGCATTTTTATTCGACTGCCAAAGAAAGTTAGGTTATGTTTTTTTTAGATGTAGTGGTACGGGGATAGGTATAACGTTTATACCAAATCTAAATCCCGTGATTAGTACATATAAAATTTAGCTTAAAAGGTAAATCGAACTTTGAGAATAATATTTTTTAACTGATCATACTAAATCGATCACGTAGTTTAAATTAATTAAATGCACAAAAGAATGGTTTTTTTTTCATGCTATGCTTATCGTAGAAAGCTGTAAACTTTCTTGAATACTATCATATAATTTATATGTAAATATATTTATAACTTCGACGTAAAGCTTAGAATAGTCTGGAATAAAAATAATGATCATATCTTCTATCAAAAACTTAAAAATGTTTAATTTTAGAATTTTTAAATCAATATTTTTGTGACGTTCTCACACTCCATTGTCCCTCATTCATTATAAGATAATGCATTTTAATATATTATTAAATTAAATATAAATTAAATAATCATACCTACATACGATGAAATATGTGTTTAAAAGTGGATACAAATAAGGGCAAGAGAATGCCCAAAAGATGGATAGCAGTGTGAAAGCGATATTATTAATGCTTGTGGCATGACAAGTGGGGTAACTGAATCAAGATCATTCAAAATGAAAGGCAAAACGTGTATTTTGATACTGGTAGTTGTTGACTTTTGGTGGAATTTCAGAGTTATGTGTAAAAAATGTCAATGCTTCTCTCTGATATATTTATTTTACTAAGAAAGCTTGTAAGAAAACTATAAATAATATTTTATCACTGCAAATTTCTCTGTTACTTAAAACGAATATACATGAAAACTAAGCTTGTAAACGTGTTGAAAACAGTACTAATAAAAATATTTATTATTAGCCAATCCCCTGCCAGGACTTTGTTCCAGAAAAATAGACATTTCTGTCGTGACAATCAATGGTGGCAATATTAGCATGTGGCTAAAAAAGAATAAATTTTAACGACTACAAAAATCTGCGCATTTTTTTTACAACACAGGGGGCAAACGAGCATGCGGCTCTCCTGATGGTAAGTGACTATCGCCGCCCATGGTCACTTACAACACCTACGGCATTGCAGGTATCATATATTATAGGTATATATTTATTTAATAGAAAATTTGCACGTTAATCTCTTAGATTAAATAAAAAAATACACCCTCATTCCAGCAAGTAAAGTGCTCGTTGCATTTATCGTATTTTAGTAAACCTACCTAACCTAACAATTGGGGGGAAGGGGTTGTTAGTAATGGGAATTAGTAATCCCATTGCTATCAATATATCCTGGCAGGTACTTCCTCGCGGTCCTCCCTGGAAACTATCGTGCTTAATTCCTTGCAAATTCATCACGATGGTCTAACTGATCTGCTTTTTCATCCTCACTTATCATCCTTACCGTCCCATTGTCATCCATAACAAAAACCTAATTATTAAGTACATACATACCAAGACATACTTAGATGTATGTATGTAAACGTGATCAATGTCACATCAGTATGTCATTAAAAATATGAATGACACATATTGACGTACGCACACATAAATTAAGTGTACTTATGGAGATGCATCATTATTTTTTTTTATTACAATACACTTCATTAATAATGTATGATCTGCAAAATCAATGTCATCCATTTATATAATAGTGTTTAGATATCTCACACCACGTAACATAACAATACGTATAATAAAATATTATGCATAACTTGCCAACTATGTATGTATGTATGTTAATACATTAATTATAATTCAGATTATGATAAGGCTAATCTGTATAGATCCCAATTTGAGAGTCAAGAATTTTAAACTCGTGATGAGAGTGTGGCTTACTGCTTTGAATGTGACATAAAATTGTAATTCCATGATTTTTTTAATGGGTGATAATGGAATGGCTAAATCTTTTTGCAATATGGAATAAAACATTACGCCGACCCCATATAATAATTGGGATAAGGGTAGGAAGATGATGGGTGATAATGGAATGGTAACTCCGCCCGTGCTATCGGTATACACTGGCGGGCCACCAGTGAGAGATAGGTTAGGATGAAGCAGCTCAGTTATGGATCGTGATGAAATCAATAAGAATTGTTCATGATGGTTTCCAGAGGGAATCACGTGGAGATAAACCTAATAGGGTATATTGTTAGCAATGAGACTGTCAAACTCCATTGCTAACAATCACTTTCTCCCTTCCAATGGTGATTTGAAAAATACTGTTGTTTAATTTTAACAGTACTAATAGATTAGCGCCTTTTGTTTTTTTTTTTTATACAACTTAGAGTGGCAATCAAGCTGACGGCCCACCTGATGGAAAGTGGTAACCGTCGCCTATAGACATGAGCAGTACCATGGACACAACAGAGTATATTAGAGTAGAGGTCGAATGTATGTACATAGAATTAAAAAAAAAAAAACGCTAAATACGTGAAATAGAACATATCCAGATTTTTTTATTTTTTATTTTTTGTTTATCTATTTGTCTGTTTGTTGTTGAAACTGTTGGGTCGATTTAAATGAATATTTCCATGGTGGCACCTTATATCCCCAGATACTTTTTATTAAGGAAAATTAAAGAGTTCCCATAGGATAGTTATAAAAACTATAGTAACTTATACAGCTTAGTACACAACCTACTTAAGTAAAGTCATTTCGATCTAAGACAAAGACTAAGAACGACACGTCATTTATTAATTTTGGTTCAGTATTCCTAGATATCGCCGTGTCGATCCCGGCATAAAATGGGCCACCCCTTCCTTTCCAACTAAAAGCCTAACTGCGGTTGCCAACCCGTTTGCCACGAGTGGTAATTAGATAGATAGATAGATAGATAATTTATTTGCATTACTTACAGCACACAAATTACAACATACATTGATATACAAAAAAAGCGAGATAATATAAATGATAAAAAAAATACACAAAGCTAAATACAATTTTCGTTTGTGAGTGTGCCATAGCAATACAAAATGGCCACAACTCAGTTTATTGCTTCGCCCTCAAAAGAGCAAAGCACTGATATTCTGTTGCTACCAAAGGGAATAGGGTAACAATAAAACAATATTACCAGATTATCCGTACAATAAAAAAAGATAGATATACAGTAAACAGACAGATATGACAGTTTATCTAGCAGACAAATGGAACATAGAGGTAACTTGCAAGAATGTCTAACTTTTGCCTACTATTGACAACACTCCCATTATGGGGAAGGCTTATGTTCAGCAGTGGATACTTAAGGGCTTAAGGGCAGGACATAATAATTTTTAGACATAATAAGTAGGTAGGTGTATACATCGATACATACTAAACAGAAATAACAAATACCTCGCGGACAAAGTTGCAGGCAACTATTAAGTAGTAAATAACAATAATTTACAAAAATACTATTAAAATTGAAAAAAAAAAACTAAAAGATCTCATAATAAACGTAGAGCAATTACAATTGCATAGTAACTGGCGGCCGTCCTTGCAAGGCCGGACGGTGCAACGGTGGGCGTCTTGTTTGCGTAGGTGAATGTACTGGGTACACTGTAAACTTTAATACTGTTCAATAGTGAAATAGCCTTTAACTGGTTTCGTAGTTTTGGTACTGATTTAAGATATAAAACGTTATGTTTGATACCAAGGTGGAGCAAAACATTTTTAATACTAGCTTTTGCCTGCGACCTCGTCCACATGACCTGGGCAGACAATAAGTAGCCTATGTTCTTTTTCATCCTATATAATATATATGCTGTTACTATGCACTGCTGAACATAGGTCTTTTCCTATTGGGGGGTTTGCTAGTAGTTGCCATGCTTGGCGGGTAAATTGGCAGCTGCAGTTAGCCTTTGATATTTTATGAGGGACACTTCTGCCCATCCCTTGACCATAAAGTACCCTTACTTGCCTTTTACGACACCCACAGGAAAGAAAGGAGTGGCCTGTTCTATGCCGGGACCACGCGGCATATAAATAAAATATCATATCTACTGTGTATCAAATTTCATTGAAACCGTTTAATGGTTTTTGCTTAAAAAAGTATTATATATCTATCCATACATGGATGTATGTACTTACAAACTCGCAACAATATAGTATATATGTGTATACCATAATCGATGGTAATTGATATAGCCGTTAAAGTGCCAAGAGGTAAGAAACGATCAAAGAAAACTCAGTTTTACATTTATAATATTAGTAATGATTTTTCTTTAATACACAAATTATATATATTTACTGAATTTACGTGAATTTACTGGGTACAGAGGAATAACACCCGAGTCTTCAGGAATGACAACGCATGGGGGGGATCATCGGCGAACCAGTATACTCTGTTATGTCCCTGGTACTGCTCATATCTATAGGCAACGGTTACCACTTTCCATCAGGTGAGTCTTCAGCTTGTTTGCCATTCTAAGTTATATAAAAAAAATATTATTCTAGCATAAAATAGCTATTTGATAATAAAGTCTGATATAAATATAGCTAGCTAACGACTAGTCCAAGTTTCATCCGGATTTTGAAAATAAAATAGATACAATGAATGAATCATTCTTTTAATATAAAACTATTATTATATAAGTACCTCATTTATGTACTTACCCAATCCGCATATCAAGTATGTAGGCGGGGGCTTCAGCACCGACCGAGCGTACGCCCCGCGAACCGTCTCCAGAGCCCTGGGTGCTCCGGCCACCAGTAGTACTCCCGGGGACACGTACCCAGCATACCTCAGCTCCGTCGTGGCGGCCGCCAGAGCTCCAGCCCACCAGCATTTTGCGTTCGCTGCTAGGAAACTCTGTGGAAAAAATAAAAAAAGTTCTTATTAAAAAGAATATAAATTTAAGGGAAGAATGACGTTAATTCTTTAATTATTTAATTCTGACATCTTCCGTGACGCAATGGTATGTATACTGTTTTGCGTAAGGAGACGCCAAGTTCGATTCTCGGTCGGGCCAAATTTTTTCTAAATAAGCTTGTGTCTGAGTGTTCTGATTTGTATCCTCAGGTGTTTATTGGCTGATTTTTCATAGTGCAGGATTTTTTTATGAAACTTAGAATAGCAATCAAGTTAACGGCCCACCTAATGGAAAATGGTAACCGTTGCCTATAGACATGAGCAGTACCATGAACATAACGGACTATACTGTTTCGCCCATGATACTTCCCATGCGTGGCCATTCCTAAAAACTCGAGTGTTATTCATCTGTACCAATTCACTGCCATATCCCACCCTTCAAACCGAAACACAGCCATGCAAACACAACTGCTTTGCGATAAAAACACGAATGAGACAGAGATGCCCAAGCAAAAGACTTTTGTACAAAGTTCTTTATTTGAAATTTCAAATAACATAAAATCCAATTGGCGGTGTGTTTTTTATCACTTCATTACATTCCTATTTACCAAAAAAAAAAAAAAACAGTTGGAATTATGATTATTAAATGTGAAAGGAGGAAATTATGATAGGATTGATGCAATTGCATCTGCAACACCAAACGTTAGATACAGATTTTATAAATGTGTGTACATCACCATGCTTATCAAGCGTGGGCTCGACTGACTTGGCAATAATAATATTTCTGTTCAGTGATAAGTGCTATGAGAGGTGGAGGTCAAACATAGCGTGTAATATGACTATAAATCTATTTATTAACGAGCATTACAAATCAACAATTTCTATTTTCCCTCGAGAACGTTAGTTTAAGCATATAGTTATTATGTATGCACTATTTTCAGCGGATTTTAAAAATAGTTTTAAAGTTTCGCGTTGTTTTATTATCGCTTAAAGCCTCGATTATATATTTGAAAAATTTAAAAAAATTACAAAATACTTGTATAGTAGGAATTACGAGTATATTTGCTGACTGTGCTTGTCGTTTCCTACAATTGTCCAACTTATCCTGAATCTTCTTAAAAATTAAGGTATAAAAAAGTCTTTAATTAGTATTTTTTTTTCTATATGTATAAAATGTACGTTATTTTTAGTAACTTTAATCAAATTTAATTAATTATTTATAATGTTTACTCTTGCATAAAAAGACTACCATAATTAGCGAAAGTTTTTTACATCAATCATAATAATTTTATTAACATTGTACATAATATGTGTATACTAAATTTTATAGTCATTAGTTAAGCTGTTTAGGTGCTATAACGTAAGAAACAAACTCATTTCCACATTTATAAGAGTATGACATAAAATACTCATTTTTTTTTTTTATTTCTTAAGCTATGTTTATTTAGAAAGAAATTTCCGTTTCACTAATAAAATACTTTCTTCAAAGGATGCTAATAATTTAAATTTCACCTCAACAATGCGTTATATTTTAAATTGAGACGGAACGAGTCTCGCCTCTATGTTAGATAATACAGATATTTACAGAATGTGCTCAGCCAAGTGTGAACCGGCCGAGTGTTTCAAGAATTACAATGGTAAGAGTTCACAAATGACCCAGAACGCACGGCCTAGTAATTGTGAGGTCTTTTGAGTTGAGGCGGTACACTACTTAGACACTCGTACAATGCTCTTGTAATTAAATAATTTTATTGAAGTTGGTAAATTAAATTAGAGAGAAATCTATCCTTCATATTTTATTTTTGCAAAGTTGAATCTGTATGCAGACACAATATTGCGTTCGAAATTCAAAAATATTTAGGTTAAGGACCTGCAATCCTCTTTCTACGACCAGGAGATTTTGTATAACTCCTTGAGTTATAACATGAGATGTTATGCCGAACTGAAACAATTGGCATAAGGCTAGGAAGATAATGATGGTAATAATGTACTATGTTTTCTGTACTAGTCGTTTCTGCTGTTGCTGCTGTTAAGCATTTAAGCTCATATGACCCATTCGTGGTTCAACCGTAAAGCAGTTTTGTTTGCATGGCTGTGTTTCGGTTTGAAGGGTGGGATATGGCGTGAATTTACTGGGTACGGAGGAATAACACCTGAGTCCTCAGGAATGGCAATGCATGGGGGTATCATGGGCGAAACAGTATACTATGTTATGTCCATGGTACTACTCATGTCTATAGGCGACAGTTACCACTTTCCATCAGGTGGGCCGTTAGCTTGTTTGCTATTCTAAGTTGTATAAAAAAAATGTCTGCATCGATTTGAAAGGTGTGATATAGCAGTGAAATTACAAAATGTAAAATAACACTCCAGTCCTCAGAAATGGTAATGCTTGCGAGGAATTGCGGGCATTCCAAGGTATTACGTGATAACTATGATACTGTTTATATGTGACAGTTACCACTTTCCATGAACTGAACTGTCAGTTGCTTTGCCATTCCTAGTCTAAGTTGCATTGTTTACCAAAAGATGATTTTGTGTAAAGTTCTCTACTAAGGAACCTATGTCCTACTTGTGATCTGCCTCCTAACAACTGTGCTTGCATGGCTATTTTAATTTAAAAGACCAAATATGACAATGAAATTGCGAAATAGAAAGGAAGGAGTATTATGGGGTCATACAAATTGTATCTGTGATTTATATTTTCCATCAGGGATGGTCGTCAATTGGTTTGCATTCCGAATTGCATAATAAAATTAAAATCGTTTTTAATTTCAGTTAATTATTATTTTTAGTATTTTGTAAGTTGATATTTTATCTAATCTATTAAATGCCAGTATCCACTTATATCCTGTTTCTTATATACCAGGAATATTAAATCCAAGATTTTCTCATATTATTAATTTCATCACATAAAACGTTGTCTTCATTAGCAGTAAATTTCATACATTAAACGCCTACATTAGTTGGTTCCAAGATACAAATTACAAATGTGTATTTTAGAAATACATATCTATTTCTGCAATAAGTTTTATTGTAGACATAATTTAACTCTGGCCAGCTACTTGTTCATTTAAAAGGTATAATAGATAAAAGGGAAAAAATATTTTAGTAAACAAAGTTAATAACCAATAGCTATAACAATTTAAAAGTGTGTTCAGCAAAAAAAAAGGCAATATTAGTCAAGATCAACGTGAGGAAGATTGCACATTCCTTGTATTCGATGCAACAAAATGCCATAAGAATTGTCGATGGTCTCAGAATCACTAGTGATATCAAATAAAACAAGAATAAGAATAACTTTATTTCCTTATACAAAATCTGGGAAAAAACTGTGCTTCTGCAGCTATTCTCTGTGTATTCTAATACTTGTATCTTGGACTGTGCTTAGAGAAATTGTTAAACATTATGCCCACCGGCTCCATGGCATTTTCTACTATCGCGACATTAAAAGAGAGTTCATACCCATACCTCAGTCCTGATGGTAGTTTAATGAATGAGCTTCCACCTCTGGTTTTTCCAAGATTCTACAGTATGGGGTTCTTCAAAAAAGGGGTAACAAGTTTTTTTGCAGGTTTAGCAACATACGCGTTACGGGCTTAGCGTTACGGGCAATTATAAACTTGTTTGCTACGACCTAGTAGTATAAAAAATACCTATTTAATTTATTTATTTATAACATCAGATAAGTTTCCAATTATAACGATAGTCAAATAATGACTATTTTAAAAATAATCTGATCTCTTTAAGCTCGTTTCGTAATTCGGGCGGTGTTCATTTCAGGACGCAAAGTGCATAGTTTTGCAAGCGGCCGAAATGCCAAGAGCTCTTTGATCTGGTCAAGGACTACGGACGTAATTCGAACGGATCAGCTTTCCGACGTGAAATGACCTGAGTGATCGAAAAGGCATATGTTGAAAATATGACAACTGCATTTTATTTTAATTACTAGTTTTTTCTCGCAACTTTGTCCGCGTGATCTAAATAAAAAGTAACCTTATATCCTTATCCATCTTAAATACATATCTACATACATAATTGGCCAAACTGTTAAGATGTAACAAATAAGCAAAAATAAGCTTACATCCATATTTACACCAATAGTAAGAAATGATTTCATTTATAAATGTTGCTAGAAGTATAGAGTTACAAAATTAATAATAGAGTAATTATAATTTAAGATTTCGTTCTAAAATACAAATAAAACTTCAATTACAATAATAAATATGAGATAAATGATCACAATGATCAATTCACAATTTATGATACTTGCAATACCAAGCAAAATAATGACCCACCTGATAGAAATAATAATGGGTTTTCATCATAAACAACACCATATGAGATCAACATCAAGGTAAGCCCTATTGATTGCAAACAGCAAATCCTTATATTTTTTTAGATGACTCAAAAATTCAAATGAACTCAAACACTGCCTCGTGGATCATACAGTTCATAATGGCGGTGTTTATTGATAGACAGAATCATTAACAAGTACATAACTCCTAAGAGAAAACTAGTTTGGACTATAAAGAGTAAATTACTAGAATAATAACTACAGAATATTATGCAGATTAGAATTTTCCATGGCGTAAATCAAATAAGTTTTGAGAAAGTAGACGAGAAGCGTCGGCTGTGTTGACTAGACGGATGCGTTATGGTGTAAAGAGAAAATAATTAGTAGGTACGTTTGATTACACAAGGTTATAAAAACTCGTGTTTAGGATAGGGCGCGCTGTTATAGCCGGAAAATATAATTTTATTATACAACAAATAGGATTTGTCTCCGCAAAAAATGTACACTTCAATAGCGAAGTAATTAAGATGAGAACAATACGGGAGCAAAATCTATTGATTGCAAAGAATACTTATCAAATTTGGTTTAACTTGTGTAAAAATATCACGTAACATAAAATATACATATGAATGCAGGATCTTCTTTGTTATAGTAGATTAAAATACAACAATTTATTGGACAGCTATCTTTTAATATTATAAAA